AGTGCTTTCATTTGCCTTCGCTTGAAAAATGATGCAGCCCTGAAGTCCTGCAGATCGGGAGGATATTTCAGGAGGAAACGGAAAACCGATGGCAAATAATGAAAGTTTCGGTCGGCAGTTCGCAAGTGCACGTTGCAAAATAATGAATGGGGCCTGCATTTATTAATGTTTTCGGGAAGCGTTCGCAAATTAATTGCCATTTAATTTGTTATGCTAACTACACTCACACACCGAAAGACTAATTGGTTTAGCTGGCAACATTTTGCGTAGCTTTAATTAAATTGTAAATTTCCCGTTTAGCCAGCAGGAAGTCGAGTCGAGAGAGCAGCGAAAATTGCAATTAAGATAATTATCTGGCAAAAGCAAAAGTGTAAATCCTTTGCGCTCCAAGGATTATGCAACTGCAGTCTGTGCTGCGCTGCTTTTGCTGCTGCTGCTTCTACTGCTGCTGTGTGCCGCACTTAATTTGCATAAATTTCAAATGAATCCAATGGCCAAAAAAGCGCAGCTAAACAATTGCCACTGATGAAGCAGCAACAGAGAGGCAAAATTGCACTGCGACAAAAGGGGTGCTTAAGCTAAAAGAGGGAGAAATTATAAGCATTTGCATACATGCAACACAGAAAAATTCCTAAAGATTTGCATCTATTTTTATTTCACGATTTCTTCTTGATTCATATAAAGCAGGGGAAATAGCTTTCTGCTATTCTCTGCCGCCACACGCACAGTATACATAAGCTGTTCCGTAGAGATTATCCACACTTGTGAACTTATTTTTCTAGATTACAATCTAGAATAATATTCTTAGCAACGAAATAAGTATTTACAAACCATCTCATCACTATGTTATTAAGCCTAATTTCTTGCAGTGCCAGAAAAGGGGCGATAATAAGAGTGTTCCATTTCAAGCTGGGAAAAAATATAAAATATAAAAAAGGTATATCCCATATTTCATTTAATGAATTCTTCTTGATTCTTCTAGAGCAGCGTACATGGCAGAAAGCACTGCCTACTCTCTGCCGCCACACGCACGGTTTGTAACAGCGGCTATTCACACATTGTATTATATGCAAACCGCTGATCTAGAGTATTTTTTTGACCAACTGTAATATATATTTCTTAGCCATATTATCAACTATTGCAGTTAGTTTCTTAGTTTCTTAGCCATATTATCAACTATTGCAGTTTGTTTCTCTCAGTGCCGAGGCTGCTGGAAACTGCAGCTTGGGGCGCTTACTTTGTCTGTGCCACATGGCGCCCCTTCTCCCCGTTTCCCCGCTTTCAGGTGCCACAATCACCAGGAAAGATGTCGCAGGATAATCGAAGAACAGGGAGCGGGACCAAAAACACAGGGCCAACGGGCGACAGAGAAAAGGAGCCGAGAATTTTGTGTTATTCTTACGGATTTTCTACTTTGTTGGCAATGTAAGCAAAGCAAAAGCGACCGGCACCCCCTCAGCACTCAGCACTCCGGCCTTCCGCTTTCATTTGCTCTGTGCAAAGTTGACGCTTTTGTTTGATTCGTGTCACACAGCTGACCAACGCCCCTGGGTTCCTCATTTTTCACCCACTCCAACTCCATTGCCATCTCCATCTCCATCTCCGTCCAGATCCTGACCAAGGTTCTCTATCGTTCCACTCGGCTGGAGTTACTTTGCTTCGAATTATGCAAAATACAAGACGGGCAGGGAAAGAAACACAAAACAAATAGAAGGACGGAATTGTCAAATGAGATTCAATGTTCTGCTCAAGTGGCTCTCGTCTCCGGTTCGCCGTAAAGTGGAGTGGAGTGAATTTTAATAATAAATTTTCGTGTGACCACTGAGGAAAGTTGCAGCAGCAGCGGAAGCAGCAGCAGCATTGCTCACATGCAATTTTCCAGAATTTACTGCTGCGTGAAACTTTGGCAATTCGGTGCCGAATGCGAATGGTGAATGGCGCCCAACAAAGTGGCGGAGCAAGTCTTGGCCAACTGGGATCGCCTTGCGTGTCCAGGCACAAACTGAAGGCAAATGAAGCTACAATTACGTCTACAAATACACATAAAAGGGGAAGTAATTTGCAATTAAATTACGACGAAATGGGCAATAGAAAGGGAATTAATTGTCCACGAAATGCAATTATGCTTTGCTCACGCCCTCCTCCTTTCTTTTTTTTCCGCCTTTTACTCGCTGCAAACTGAATGAGCGAATAAATGAACGAATGAATGGCATCGCAAAGTGGGACAGCCCAGCGGTTCAACTTTGGTTGCAGCTTAATGGAATTGCATATTAAGAACTTGTCAAAATGATAACTTTTCTCTGGTGCCATCAAACTGAAATTGGGAACATGGCAGTTCGCACTCGCTAAGTAAGTGGGTTTCTGCCCAAAACTTTAATATTGAATGGCCCAAATGGGGGCTGGGTGTGGGTTACCACTGGGTTCACCCTAATAAATTACGAATGTTCCTTTTATTGAACTTAATTTCCTTTTTTTGACCAACGAAAGCAAACGAAAGCAAAGTAAAAGCCGCTGCAAAGGAGATATATGGCCGCAGTCAAAGATTACTTTTAGTGCAGGAACACCAAGCGAAATATTAAATATTTAGTAGTGTTTAGAATTATATATAAATAAAATTATATTATAAAAAAAGTTGATTATTCTATATAGCGGCATGAATAAAAATGTAGTAAAACAAATTATAATCTCTAAATTAAAACATTTTACATTGTTATATACTTTTTTATTATCAGTTGACCTTGATAATAGAGAAGTTAAATGAATTATTTTTGAAAAAATGTTTTAATCGGACGATGCGATTAGATAATTAATAATAAAAATATTGAATATTTTATAACTTACAGTTATTTTGATAAATTGGAATTTAAATTTAATATTTTGGAAAATGAATAATATTTCATTAAACTCCATTTAATTAAATCTTAAAATATTTTCTCTACACAAAGGTTCAATAAAGTAAACAATATTACAAAACAATGTATATATAATTTAGAAATTTAAACAAATATTAAATTGACATTGGAAAATAAATATTGCATTCGTCCTTAAATATTTCACCTTTTGAAAAAATTTAAGAACAATTCTTGATTCTTCTTGATCTTCTAAGATTTTCAGAATTTTAACAACCTTTAAGAATATTTTTTTATTTTATTCTAAAAGTTAAAAATATATTTTTCGCCAAGTGGACACACATTCGGTGATTTTTGCTGCACTCGGAGCTGCAGCCCAAGGTTGAGTGCCTCAAGCAAGCCGCAAGCAGCCAAATGCGATGCCTTTCAAAGCCGGCTAACGATCGGCAAACAGATGAGGACAAGGCAGGGGGTAGTGGGTTGGAGATTGGAGGTCCTGCTGCAGGACGTAGCAATGGAGATGGTCAACATTTTCGGGTTCCATGGACTTGGGCCTTGGCTTTGAGCGAGGCACGCAGCAAATGCGTTTGCATTACGGTCAGATGTTTGCGGCGAGCCCCAGTCCGCAAACTCACAGGCACACCCAAACAAACACGGCAGCCCCGAGAGTTGTTTGCGCCTTTATGGCAGCCGAAGTTTGACCACATTTTACTAACAAAAATATTACAACAATGCCGGGTCTTGAAGTCTGCCTGTGGTTAGAGCACCACAGCCTCCTACACACCCCCAACCTCCCATCGCCCACAAAAAGGATGCAATTAATTTCGCAAAAGGACAACTTCATCTGACAGCAATAATGTATTGCAAATACCAGAGGCGCACAATGGTCAAAGAAATGCATAAATTGCCGGCTGTGAAGGCAATGAAATAAGTGCGGAAATTGGTAGGGGATTAAATGGCCTAAACAGTTGCCGCGGCATTAGGCTGATCGGCCGGGTTCAAAACCCTTCCCCAAAGTAGAAAAAAAAAAGATACCAGCAAGCCATTCGCTTCGATGTCGTCCGGCAAACTTTTCACTTTGCATGAACATAAAATACATACCAAATAAAACAACAAAAAACCAGCACCACATTGCTGCAACAACATGGGCAACAACAAAAAGTGGGAAAACTTTTTAATTTATATTTAAACTTTCTCAAAGTGTTGAGAAAGGGGCGTTATCTACGGCTGGTGCGACTTGCCGCCCCGAATGCCAAATAGTTATAAAGCACCAAATGTGCTCTGCCATGCAGAAGTGTGGAAAACGAGGCTAACAAGCTCGGTTCCCCGTTTAAAGCTCAGCGGTTGGTAGTTGAGGTCAGTCGGGGATTACCTTACATAAGTTAGCAGGGGATCCAAGGGGTGATGAGTGGCCAAAATTCTTTTAGGGTTATAACTTATTGATGGTTGAATGAGTTAATAATGCTTTGGGTCCACGACAGTTGCATTGAGAATGGAAACTATGGCTAGTAAGCCTAAGTTCTAATAAAATGTGACTAGTACAGTAGAAATATAAAATACTAAGGGAGCTCCGAATTATCCTAAAAATATTATATTCCTTAAGAAATTGAGACATTATACTATTTAGAAGGGTCATTTAAGCGGATTTCGCTGAGCATTGATTCTTAGTTTCGAGTGCATAGCTTTATAAAGAGATTTTTTAGATAAGAGCTTTCTAAAGTCTTCTTTAAAGAGCAGGTACATATATATATAGGTCGAAGCGTGACGAATCGGACGCAGATATGGTAAGGAATAACTATATATATCTTTCTTTATTTGTATAGTAGAAATTTTCAGGGGTTTTAGCAATAGCTTATGATATTATTATTATTATTATCATATTGAAAGCATTACGTCATAAACATATTCTACCCGAAATAGGTATATCAAATAAATGAAAATGTACTTAGTATACATGAAAATTCACTTTTTACAAAATGATTGTAATTATAGCTCATTACTAGAGGCAGAAATAAAACGTGTGTTCCATTCACCCGGTAAAAACGTGTTATTTTCAAATATCATTCAGTTATATCTTTTAGTTATATCATATCCTACCATAAAAGCAAAGCCGTACCAAAAAATTAAGCTTATTCGAGGACCATTCACAAGATGAAGCGCTGCTTGATTTGGAAATGGATGTTACTAATCATTTTCGAAGTGGTCAACTTATCAATGCAAATTGAGTACGAATTCGAGTTAGAGGACGAATCAATTTACACCAACTGCAGTGACGTACCGCCCGGAACCCTCAACATAAATGGGTTGTTTGACATGACCAACTTGAGCACGACCATGACCCCAGAAGGAATTATATTGTCGGGAAACATGACGAATGTTTTCAATGCCCAGCCTTCGGATCGCATTGAGGTTGTTCACTTAGGCAAGTTAAAAACTTAAGGCCTTTCTTATAATACTCCTGCTTTAGGTGACTGGAAACCTACTTTACTTTGATCGAGGTACCTGGAAGCCAACCACGCTCAATATGGCAATAAAGGACTTCTGTAAGGTTATGTACGATGAAAAACAGCTGTGGTACAAGGAGTGGGCCTCTCGGGTAACGAATAGAGATGTCATCAAGGACCAGTGTATTAAAAACCAGGGTGTAGGTAATAATTGTGATGTATCAAGCAATTATTTTATAGTTTTTTCTGCTTTACAGACGGTGCTTTTAATGGAAACATATACAATAAAGCTACGATTCGGCAGTAGTGTGCCTTTAATTTCCGGTCGCTACACCCTTCGAATTCGGGTGTTTGCAATTGACCAATCAGGCAAGAAGCGCCCAAACGATGTCTGCTACGAAGTAAGAGGAACCTTTTTCAAGATCTGAACAGGTTGCTTGGTTTTTATATTAAAATGTATTATGAAAAAAATTAAAATCCATTCACCCGTTTTTTATTAAATCTTAAAATCGTATTACGGAAACCATATAAAGCAACTATGAGACAATTCTTACGCATAAAATCGAGAGTGAAGACTAACTCTGGTAAGCGTTGTAAAGTTGTAGCATCCTTGTAGATGATGTTTGTCATGGGTGTAATTGATTTGAGTTTGACGAAACACACAAAAAAACGTATTGCTTGCCTATCAAAATAAAAAATTAAAAAAATTAATGACATAATTAAATAAAAACGCAATACTTCAGAGAATACTCCTATGAATTTAAGATCCAAAACAAGGAAACTGTAAGTTTTTTACCAATATTTTCACGGAATCTTTAATATTAACTATATCAATATATCGTCTGATCCAATACCGTTTATCTATAAAGCAGTCATCGTCAGGAGAATAAGTATGCCAGCCCATTGGGTACACATTTTTTCTGCCCCGGCTCTGATAACACACTAAGCGTATAATTATTAGATTGCAATCTACGTGGTGTACCCAAGCTAAAGCTCTAAAAATGATATACCTTTATAGGTACCCATGTACCTTCCTTGTGTATTAAACTAGGAGAGGCGTATAATTAAATGTTCACCGCTTCCGGCAGCCAGTTAGCTTAGTAGTGCAAAATTAATAATAGTAATTAGACTATTATAGGTGATAGTATATATAATAGATATATATATTTATAAAGCATTATTATTGGCCTCATTTCCCATTGCAATTCATTTCCCAACCAAACCCAAGATGAATCGAGCTCTATTTAAAATTTGGCACTTTCTGATCCTTTTGCAACATATCCAAAAGTCCTTGGCAATGACTTACGAATTTATTATGGAAGATGAGCGTATATTCAGTGATTGCAAGGACAAGCCACCGGGAACACTCGATGTAAATGATTTATTTGATTTTACTAATACTACCTTCCAGATGAGCGAAAGTGGGGTGACGCTTTCGGGATGCAAAACGGTTATTTGGGATATCCAGCCAACTGACCGAGTTGAGGTGACTAAAAATAAATTAACTGAGATGTACAGAAATTATAAACCATATTTTCAGCTTGCTGTGAGTGTTCTATATTTCGACCGCGGTACCTGGCAACCAACCACACTTAATATGCTGATCAAAGACTTTTGCAAGGTAATGTTCGACGAGAAGCAGGTGTGGTACGACTCGTATAGTAAGCACATACAAAATGCAGCAGAAGTCAACAATACTTGTTACAGAGTAAAGGGAGTAAGTAATATTCCTTGAAATTTTACATTACTTACAATATAGTTTTTTTTTCAGTCTCCAATAATATTCGAAGAGTATACAATACAACCGGTATTCTCGAGTGGAATGATAATAAAAAGTGGTCGCTATGCAATGCGTTTTATGCACTCGGCTTATGATAATAATGGGCTAGTGCGTCCAAATAAAATTTGTTACGAAATCAAGGGCGAGTTTAAAAAATCAAGTCAATGGAAATAAAGAACAAATTAAGTTACTGATGAAAGAGTGTTTGCTTTCATAAAAAAAACATTCTCTATTTATGGGTGTAATTATAGGCGGCTAGGAAATCCACAGCTGTAGGTATTTTCACGTAACTCTTCTGCATGTTTTCTGCATTTTACATATAATGTTGCATCCTGAACAGTTTTAAATTTTTATAAGCTTACTAAAACCTACTAACTAAGTAATACAAAATGTCATGTCTTTGAAGAACTGTGCTTCCAAACAAGTTTTAAGACAAGTGCTCCCACACAAACTTTATATTATAACAAGTTACTTATCTTAACTAGCACAATTCTATCGCCAATTAAAAGATTGCTATCGACGTCATGTGCGGATCCTAAAGCTTTGAAAATTGTGTATTACTGGTTTATATAACTAGACGTATAATTTGGTAGTTTGGTAGGTGGTGCCGAATTAATAATAGTAATTATACTAGCAAAGGTCGATTGGTAGCCTATAAAATGGCAGCATTTCCCATATCATTTCATTCCCTAACCAAGCCGAAGATGAATAGAGGTCTTTTTAAAATTTGGCAGATTCTGATCCTTTTGGACAGTATCCAAAATTCAATGGAAATTAAATACAAGTTTACTATGGAGGATGAGCGTATATTCACTGCTTGCAGAGACGAACCACCTGAAATTCTAGATATTAATGGTTTGTTTGACATTTCTCAAAACACCTTTCACATGAATGAAAGTGGTGTGACAATTTCCGGAAACGCAACTGTGATATGGGATATCCAGCCATCTGATCGAGTTCAGGTAACTAGAAATAATTAAAAATTAATTTTCCGTCTGATCGTCTGTTCACCCGTCCGTATGAACGCTGAGATCTCGCAGATTCGTAATGTTCTTGGGCACGCCCACTTTAACACCCATAACACTAAAATGTTTGAAGATTTTTAAAAAGATTTCTGATAGTCGAGCCTATCGACTATAGCGATCCATCTTGTTTTTGGTTTTAAACTTGAAATTAAAAACTAAATTTTCAGCTTGCCTTTGGCATACTATATTTTGATCGAGGAACCTGGCAACCAACGACGCTTAATTTAATGTTCAAAGACTTTTGCAAGGTCTTGTTCGACAAAAATCAGCTCTGGTACGACTCCTATCCTAAACATATAATAAATTCGCCAGAGATTAAAGAAAAATGTTTCCGAGTGAAAGGGGTAAGAAAAATAATAATGAATTTCCAATACTTTTTGAAGGAAATATTTGTTTACAGGCAAAAATGATATTAGAAACTTATTCAGTGGATTTTATATTCTCCAGTGGATTTCCTTTGAAAGACGGTCGCTATGCGTTTCGGTTTAGGTTCACAGCATTCGATAAAGAGGAAATGAAGCGTCCCAGCGAAGGCTGTTTTGAAATTAAAGGGGATTTTAATAAACTACACAACTGAAAGTTTCCTTTGTAATAATACTTGTTGTAAGCAGTTAACATTTTTTTATAATGAAAAATTTCATGAATAAATAAAATTATTGGATTCCAAGAACTTCTTTTGTTATTTCCTTGTAGAGGGTATTAATCGGAAACCTTTCCCATGGCTTACAAATTCATGGCCTATAGTACTCTTCTTCTTCAAAGTCCCATTATTACTTTCAAAAACTCGAACTCGTTTTTTAAAAATCGCACTGGGAGTGGGAGCGATGACACTACTATATATAGCCGAAGTAGTGAAATTCTGCTACGGTAGTCCTATTAAATCAAGTAACCTTTCGAAAGGTATTATTATTCTCTTTAAATTTGGATAGTAAGCCTTTTCAAAACTTTTATAGATGGGGAGACCAGTGAAGCCAAATATACTGCAGTTCTAGCAGTACAAATGTCATCCAAATCGGACTATCCATTCAAAAGCTATTTAATTTCAAAAATGTTCGGATTATTTTCGAATTGAGACCTAGATGTGTGTTTGTTGGTTTGACCATTTTTTTTTGCAAGTATTATACCCGTTAAAGATTGCTATCGGAGCCATTTGCGGAACCTAGGGCTTTACGAACTGTATATTGGTTCTTTATATAACCAGACGTATAATTTAAAATGTATATTCCGGAAGCCAGTTTGGTTGGTAAAACCAAATTAATTATAGTAATTATACTAGCAAAGGTCGAGTGGTAGCCTATAAAGTGGCAGCATTTCCCATAGCAATTCATTCCCTACCAAAACGAAGATGAAACGAGGTCTTTTTAAAATTTGGCAGCTTCTGATCCTGTTTGACAGTATCCAAAGTTCAATGGAAATTAAATATGAATTTATTATGGAGGATGAGCGTATATTCACTGCTTGCAGTGACGAAGCCCCGCAAATACTAGATGTACATGGTTTATTGGATTTTTCTGAAAATACCTTCGACATGGATGAAAGTGGTGTAACAATTTCCGGAAACACAACTATAATTTGGGATATCCAGCCATCTGACCGAGTTCAGGTGACTAAAAACGTTTTTTTTCAAACTGGAAACTATAAAATAATTTCTTAGCTTGCTGTAAGCGTACTGTATTTCGACCGCGGAACCTGGCAACCAACCACGCTTAACTTAATGTACAATGATTTTTGCAAGCTCTTGTTTGACCAAAATCAGTTCTGGTACGATTCATTTACTAAACACATAATAAATAGCGCAGAGATTAAGGAAAAATGTTTCCGAGTCAAAGGGGTAAGAATCATTTAATTAAATTTCCGATACCTTTTTATGATCACAGTTCTTACAGGCAATAATCTTGTTTGAAACTTATTCGGTGGATTTAATATTCTCTATCGGATTTCCTTTAAAGAACGGCCGTTATAAGATTCTTTATAGGTTCACAGCATTCGACAAAAATCTAAAGCGCCCAAACGAAATCTGTTTTGAAATCAGAGGGGATTTTACAAAAATACGCAACTGAAACCGTCCTTTGTATGAATAGAAGTAAATACATGTGATTTTTATAAATATATATTTATTATATATATTTATTATATATTAAAATATATATTTTTTTGTACTATGATAAATAAGTTATTATGTTATAATATTTTATTATAACCTTGCAGAGTATCGATCGGAGATGGCTCCCATTTTAAATTTTATTCTAGGATTTCGAATTCATTTTTAGTCGTTATCGGAAACTGATTAGTTGCTTTGATCATATTTTCTTTTTTTTTGGTAAATAATAAAAAGAAAATATAATAAACATTTTTTTTTGATTTGAAATAAAGCTTATGAATAATTCGTTGCTCCATATTCTCGAGTTAGCTCCATAGAACAGTTATTTATTAAAACAAACACATGTAATATTTTACTAGTATATTTAGACTACTCACATCCTCGATTTAATGGAGTCCTTAAAATGTAAACTAAAAATATTTTTATTCCCACATATATTTTTCCGTTCCGGCTGCTCTTTTTCGTTGGCATTCCCGCAAACGGTTCGCATTCATTTATCAATATTTATAGCATTTAATGTGCAATTTGCATTTCTTAATGAAATTACACAGAAATTATATATAAATCAGCATAATTTGAGCAACGTGCACCGCGGCACGCTCAACTGGCTGCCAGGCGGCGGGTATCGATATCTCGCCGGCCATGTAATTTCCGCTTAATTTGCTGCCATTACCACAAAAATGCATTAAATGTGTGTGCAGAAGGGCGCGGCGATAGCCTTTAAATGCGCTGCAATTATTTGCATTGCAATTTTAATTGAGTGTTAAAATATTTGCGGCCACCTGGTGCCGCGAGCAATGAAATATGGTATCGCCTCTGGGCCACAAACGCGTCTAAGCCGTGATTTCTGGCTTAAGTCTCCAAGGAGCTGCAGAATTGCGGAGCACCAAGTGATCAGTCCTCATTTGCTCCCATGGTGATGCAACTCCCCATTCCATCCCAACCCATCCTCTCTGAATGCAATCCCACTGACTTAGCTTGTGCATCAAAGGTCCGGTTGTGTGGATGCATTAATAAATTGAGTTGGATCCCTAGTGAAGCTTGCAACTGCAACAGATTTGGCCTAAGCACACACAGCGAATAATGTTGGGGAAAAGTGTGTGTTTCAAGTTGTCTCTTTCTAATAGTTTATGAAATTGTATAGTCATTTTAAGATTATAGCAAACAAATATGGTAATTATTATATATAAATTAGCATATCATATCATAATTACAAACCACAGTTTTAAAATAAACTATATGTTCCTTTGGTATTTAAAATATTATACAAATATTTTAGTTCCTAAGAAATATCAAGAAAGTTTTTTAAATATTAAATGTAAATAGTAAAGTTTTTTTATATTTTGTTATAATAAAATTATTTTTTCCCACTTAGGGATTATAAAAGATGGCTTACAACTCTTTAACCTTGTTTCAAAATCTTATAATTACATAACATAGCAAGTAAATCCCTAACTTAAACTAGTATCTGTCAGGATTCCATTAAATGTATTAAGCAATTCTGTTGATTTTACTTGCATTTATATTAAAAAGTCCTGATATGAATTCATGAAATGTTGTTTCTCTATATACCATTTTTTGACCCGTTACTCGTATAGTAATTATCGAAAACAGCCGATTTGCTGCATGCATATCTCCATCTCCCTCGCTCTCCCTTAAGCTAAGTAAAAGGTATCTAATACTCGACTATAGTGCTCTTTCTTGTTTCTTTTAGTTAGTTAGTAAAAAATCCATCGAAGATCATAAGGCCTGTACAGACAGTTCGACTGGCCTTAATGGCAACTATTTTTTTCAGTGCACCCATACCCAGGCGCACACACAAACAAAGGCTGGGGACAGGCCTGTCGATTTCATTTGATATGCGCCTTTGGGCCATAAAATTTGACACAAACGCAGGACACCCATTGGGCCCACAGATGCCGGATTTCGAGGGCAATGGGACTGGGAATGGAAATGGGTCTGGGAATGGGGTCCTGGGCAAAGCGTTGCTCATTTGCAGGCGTTATTAAATTGCGTTTTTCAGATGGGACAGAAAACTGGGGAACCGAACGGATGCAGAAGCAGGGGGCACTGGCATTTTAATGAACTGATGCATTTGGCCAGCTGCATTCGGCCCGAAAATGCCCCTTTGTGCATTTATTTGTTTGCTTTGGCACTGATTGTATTTGCATTTGTGCGTGTGTTTGTCTGTGTGCCATTGGCAAACGTTCGATTTGGTGTAATGAAATTTTCTAATCAAAGCGTTTTGTTTATTTGCATTTGGTCATCGGCTGCTGCCACTCCTTTGGCTCCTGCTGTTCGAATGTTCGACTGTTCGACTGCTCGGTTTTGTTTGGCTTGTTGACTGCCCGCCATTGTTTGCATTGGGTCAAAGGTTGTCACTTGTGCAAATACTAATTAGTTGTAATTAGGTTTTACATATGCACACCAGCCGCAAAACAATTGCTGCGAAAGTGAGTGGGCGTGGCGTAAGGCATTTGCTGATTAATCGGTGGAATAATCTTGGGTGAAAATTGCAATGCACTCAGGGGAAAATCTATTAGAAGCCTTCTTTAAATATATAGAAATTCTAAATAAAATACACACACATAAAAATATATTAAGAGGATGGTTACAACTTTCTTATTGATTTAAAATCGCAATAAAAATGGTCAAAACATTATTTTAAATCTACAGAATAATTTATTTTTATTTATTTGATCAGCAAATTATCACACTTTTAATTACCACTATAATTAGGCCAACGAATTGCTCAAAAGAGTTTTATAAAAATTCTTGATTATACATTAAAATTCAATTTAAGCCAGGGGAAACCTTTCTTAACTTTCTAATTCTTTCCTGGGTTTTCCTAGCTTTTTAACTTAATCTATGCATTGCTTTTCATCCAACTCAGCCATAATCGCTTTGATCTGGTCTCAAATTAAATGGCATTTTGCGCGGCCAATTTACATATTTTTGGGCAAGGCAAAAATGGAAACAATAAGCCATAATTTTTATATAATTAACTCTATTCCCCGTTTGGCGCCACACAAAGTCTTTGAAAACTCATTTGAATATGAAATTCATATTCAAATTCAAATTTTCGCAGCTCTAGCTTTTCCCCCTGGCAGCCCGGCATCCCGGCATCCTGGCATCCTGGCAGCGGGTTCAATGAGGTGTTAAACCATAATTTGCACAAACGCTTCGGTGATTCGCCAGCCGCCCACCATTTGCCACCCAAATGGCCACGCCCCCCGCAGATTTGCATTTTTCGCGCTTTAATTTTTACTTTATTTCTTTGTGTGCTGGCTTCTTTTTAAATAAATTTTCAAGCTCCATTGTTCTTTTGCCTTTAGAGTGTTTGGCCACAATTACGCAATGGAGTCGAACAGAGGGTTTGGGGTTTTTTGATGCATCCACCGCCATCACAGTTAATCGCCATGAAATTTGTGGCCCATAAAATGGACACTGGCCACGCGTAATGGCCAAATTTTATTAGCTTCAATTTAACAATTTGTGGCTAAGGCCACTCCACGGACTTTATTAATATTTAAACAAGGCGGACATTAGACTTATGACCGTTGTGCCCAAAAAAAGGAGCTCATTTCACCTGGCCCGGCTGCTGTAACTGATGAGGATTCAGCCCGAACAAAGGAGCCACACCATTTTAATTTTTCACTTGGCTGAGTGCTGAATTAAGACATTAAACGAATGCGTCGCACTGTCCCCGTCCCGCGGCTTATAATGAAGTTGGTGCTGGCACAGCTGTGCCAAATCCCCCATCCCGAATCCAGCATCCTGGATCCATCCCACCTCCATCACCATCTCCATATCCATATCCATCCAGTCCTGTCTGTCTGCCCCAAAGAAGACTGTACCCCCGAACAACTGATTTTAATAACAGTCATCCGCTGCCGCTGTGCATAACGATGCGTAGCCGTCGAGAAGGAAAGAGCAGGGGCGTGGCAGGGCGTTTGAGCCACGTTATGACTTTGATTCATCAGGAGGGAAAGTGGCTGGGAACCTGCGACAGCCGCTGACCTGCACTGCAAAAAAAATTGGAAGAAATCAATGCAACTTCTATAAAAATGCACCCAACCCAAATATTTTACAAGCTAGTTGGATTAACTTTGATGTGTGATCTTAAAATTATTAAATATACAAACAAACATAGTATAGTATGTGAAAAAATCAACTTAAATTAAAGATACCAAGAAGGTGAACATATAAAATATAATATTTATAGTGATTTCCGTCATTATGATCATCATATCTTATAATATTGTTATATTTATATATTTATATTTATGTATACTTTAATGTTTAGGAATTCATTTAGTTTTAAATATATTTAATATATGTTTTAACACATTATTATTTACGAAAGGTTACAAATTTTAAAAATTTCAATTAGAAATAATAATTATTAGATTAGTTTATATACTTTTGACTATATATATTTTATGTCTAAAGCTACTATGTCCCCAACTCAAAAAAAAAAAAAAAATCTGCAAAATGTTAGTTATTAGTCCAAAATATCTCCCAGTGCCTGCTCGCCATTTGCATACAAATGGGCGTTGGACTTTGACGCATAAGTTCGCTGGCAATTTGCTTATAAAACGTATTCTAATTGCCAGCAATTGCGACGCGGCGACAGCAGCAGGTGGAGCCCGGGCTCCTCTTCTTTTCGCCGGCAGTCGGGGGTTAAGAGCTCAGCGGTCTTAACCCAAACAGTTCCCCAAGTAAGCCACACTCAACGGATTCGGCGGAAAAATGAAAGAGGCAGCTCGCCACCCTTGTCAGCGTTAGTAATAAAACTTTATTGAATTGTATTGATTTTAAAATTATTACCATTGAGGCGGAAGTAATGCAATGTAGCTGGGCTCATATATGTGTGTGTGCATGGGTGGGGGGAGGTGGTTGTTTCAGATGTGTGTGTGAGCGCTCAAGTGTGTTCTAGCAACGGCTGTTGGAATTTAA